GTTTTCTCCACTCTGATCTATTCCAGGGAACACAGCTCTCATATAAGCCCTCTCCCCCTTTGGACCTGTCCTCAGCAAAACACAACTCTTCCGTGAGGCTGACCACATGGGAATGTTTCAGGTTCACATCTGGAGACCTCACTGAGTACGGCCAGGTATGCAAGTGCTCATGATCTGGGGCTGGTTGAGGCTGGGGGTGGATTGCAGCATGAAGACCCTGTTGGGGGTGTCTGTTTCTTTCTCATAGAGTAATAAGTAAACATTTAAATTCTAAAAAATAATGATCTGATCCCAGAACCTAATTTTACATATAAATGCAGACTATATTTCAGGTGGTTTTTACACATGCTACACTTCCAGAAACAACTACTACATGAATTGAGGGAGCTGTTCACTGTGACAGAAAAATCATAGCCCTGGGACCAGTAGGTGGTGTAGTAGTTAAGACTGGACTCCCATGTAATTGACTGTGACAGTTCAAGTCCCGGACCTGACAGCTTGAAATTCAAGCCAGGCACTTGTCTGTGGGTGTTCAAAATCCCAAGAAGAGAATGGAGGAGAGGGATAACAGTGTGATCATCCCCTTGGGAGGTGATTTCTCACTTACTGTCTCTCTGTCTCTCTGGCAAGCGCATGCATCCTATAGCAAAAATCTTTGTCAAAAAAGAGAGAGAGAGAGAGAAAGAGAGAGAAAGGAAAATCACATCTCTGACAGCAACGTTTTGAATGGCAGTGCGCTGATAAGACTCAGCAAGACACCAGGTCAGGCGGCTCTGCGCTCATATAAATTGTACACCTAGGGGCAGGAATTTCACTACTTTGTTGATGTGTTTGTGCCTGAGTACTTATGTATGGAAATATGTATTATTTTAACTTACTTTTCTTTTATTATGGCATTGTACTGGTTTTCTTTCAAGATAATGTGGGCAAATGGATTCTATTATTTTTTATTTTCATTTCTAGATTTTAAAAAAATGGACATTATATAATATTTGTTATATTAAAAGGTAAATTGCTCTATTTTAGGGCTCAACAGTACAGAAAGACACAGTTGGGTAGAGGAAATGGATGAGTAGGGCATCAGAAGTGGTAGCATCAGTTGGGATGACAAGGGGAAGACTTGGAACCGGAAGTCAATAGTGACAGTTCATCATTTTGCCCTCTGAGCCAGTGAGCTCTGTCCCTTCAAAGTGGCATGTGATCTTAGTCCTACATGGAACCTGCTTCTATCTGCATCCCATGGGCTACCCTGGGGCAGAGAATTGCCTTGTTGACCTGGGCATAGAGGGCAGAAAGGAACTCGTATGAAAATAACCAAGTCTCCACCAGATAGCACAGGCCCTTTATGTCTGGGGTTGCCTAAGCTCTCCAGCGGTTCTCAGGGGTCCTTGCCCTGAATGCCCATCTAGTCAGAGCAAGGGACCCCCAGATGCACCACAGACTGCCCGTGTGGGCCCAAGTTTCCCTGGAATCCCTGGGGTTGCAGGTCAAGGGGAGGTGTCCCCTCCCCTCTCTCACTGTGTCACCTGGGGTACAGAATACCCAAGTGGCCTGACATGATGCCTCCAGTCCCCTCATGTCAAGGTTTCTATCATTTTTGCCCCCTGCCCTCCTTCCACTGGGTTCAGATACTGGCCTGGTGCTGCATGGAGAGCTGGGTCAGAGCAGCACCCCTAGCCTCTCCAGCTCCGGGCACACTTCACCTTAGCCCGCTGTCTTTATCCTCTTCTGGCCCCAGTCCTCCTGTACATCAGGTCCTAGTAGGACTCCCACTGGCACATCAGCCAGGCCTGGGCAGGACGGAGTCCCAGCTGGATCTAATCGCCCAGCACCACAGGTGAGAATGACAGTTCCCCCTCCCCCACCAGATGGTTCTTTGCCCTGGGATAATTCTACCCCCCATGATCCCATCTGTCTGCTCCTGTTTCCTCAATACCCTCCCTTTCCTGCCCTACCTTACTAAACAACCACAGCCTTCGCTCATAGGCACTGAAAAGAGCAAGACAGCAACATCCATAACAACACAACACAGTGGTGTACATAAAACAGTGTATCTGACTTCTCCTAGTGACCTCCTCCTGTCACAACACGGTAGCCAACAACAACAGCAACAAAGCACCTTCTCAGTGAGTAATAGGATGGTGAAAGAGACAAATCTCAGCAAGACCATGAGCCAATTATTTAATGATTTTATTTATTTATTTATTTTTATTTATTCTAATTTTACCAGAGTGAGAGAGAAGGGGCAAAAGTGAGAAATCAAGCTACCAGGTCCGGGACTCGAACCATGGTTGGCCATGTGGGAATCCAGCACCCTTAACTACCATGCCACCCGCTGGCCCCAGTTTTTAACACTTTTTAAAGTTTATTTATTTCTTCCATGAGAGACAAGCAGAGAGAGAGACAAATAGGAATCACCAACAGGTCTTTAGGCCTTGATCCACCCCCAGCCTCAGCCAACCTGGAATAAGAAAGGAGACATGTCTGTCGTGCACAGGGGAACCTTGGACGGGAACACAGCAACTTGGGATGTGGGTCCAGTTGAATTACCACTGTGCCACTGTCTGGCACCAGTTCTTGACTTTAAAAAAATTTTTAAAGGTTTTTGTCATAGGGTGTATGTGCTTGCCAGAGACAGTGAGAAGGAAATGAGAAATTGCCCCTCAGGGGTGCTGGCCATGCCACAATCTCTTCTCCATTCTCTTCCTAGGATTTTGAGCACACATGCACATATACCTGGCATAATGTTCAAGCTGCCAGGTCCAGGATTTGAACCATGGTGAGCCATGTGGGAGTCCAGCTCCCCAACCGCTACACCACCTGCAGGCCCCAGCTCTTGACATTTTAATGAATGAATGTGTGGGAAGCGAAAGTAGCTCATGGGTTACTGTGTCGATGGGGCTAGCAGGTGGTGTGGTGGTTGGGAGCGCTGGACACCCACATGGCCGACCGTCGTTTGAGTCCCAGACCTGGTGGTTTGCTTTTTCTCTCTCTCTCTCCCTCTCCATCTCTTTAACTCTCTCACTCTGTCCCTCTCTGGTCAAATTAAAATAAGTAAATAAAACTAAGTAAAAACAATTCTTTTAAAAAAAGAAAGAAAAAAAAAATCACTATGATGAGGGCCGGCAGGTGCCGTGGTGGCTTGGGGCACTGGACTCTCACATGGCCTACCTCAGTTCAAGTTCCAGACCTGGCGGCTTGCTTTCTCACTTTCCCTCTCTCTCTCTATCCCTCTAAAATAAGCAAATAAATAAATAAAACTATTTCTTTTAAAAAATTAAATCACTGTGTGGAGCTGGCAGGTGGTGTGGTAGTTAAGTATGCTGGATTCCCACATGGCCAACCATGGTTTGAGTCCTGGACCCAGTAGCTTGCTTTTTCACTTTCTCTTTCTTTCTCTGTCTCTCTCTGGTCAAATTAAAAAATAATAACAAAATTAAATTAAGAAATACTTTAAAAAATAATTAAGTCACTGTAACTCTGGCTCCAAATTCAATAGCTACAGAGTCAATGACTTATGACTAGTCTTTTTTTTTTCTTTTTGTGGAGAGGTTTTTGTTTTAGGGCACGTGCACTCGCAAGAAAGACAGAGAGAGAAAGAGAGACAGAAAGTGAGAAATCACCCCCTAGGGGGGATGGCCACACCGCAATCCCTTCTCCTCCATTCTCCTCTCAGGATCTTGGGCATGCACACACACACGCCTGGTATGAGTTTTAAGCCACCCAGTCTGGAACTCGAATCGCGGTCAACTACATGGGAGTTCAGCGACATAGCCATTATGCTAACTGCTGGTCCCTAGATTTTTTTTTTTTTTTTGAGAGGTTTTTACTATAGGGCATGTGCGCTTACCAGAAAGACAGAGAGAGACAGATACAGAAAGCGAGAAATCGCCCCCCAGGAGGGATGGCCACGCCACGCTCCCTTCTCCTCCATTCTCCTTTTGGGACCTTGGGCATGTGCGCACATGTGCCCAGTGTGAGTTTAAGTCACCGGGTCCAGGACTCGATCTGTGGTCAACTATACGGAAGTCCAGTGACATAGCCATTACTCCAACTATTGGTCCCAGACTAGATCATTTTTTAAGTTGTATTTTCTTTAAGTATCTTTTTTACTTGGAAAAACCTATCACACCATCTAGGAAAAAAATCAGTAATTATAATCACTCATAGTTCCACCATGTTAACAGTTTTTAAAATATTATGGTTTATTGGGACCAGCAGATGGCATAATGGTTACATTGTTGGACTCCCACATAGTTGACTGTGGTTTGAGTCCCTACCTGGTGGCTTAAAACTCACACTGGGTGCTTGTGCGTGTGTGCTCAAAATCCTGAGAGGAGAATGGAGGAGAAAGGGTTGTGGTGTGACCTTCCCCCCTGGGGGGTGATTTTTCACTTTTGGTCTCTCTGTCTCTTTCTTGTCTCTCCAGCAAGCACCCTATAGCAAAAATCTCTCTTAAAAAATTTATAGTTTAACATACATGGGGGGGAGTTGTCTCCAAAAAGTTCATAGAAACATTATTATGAAAAAACTATAAATGAAGTCTGAACTTTCTGGCACCAAAATAAACTCAAACTTCAATTCCGCTTTCCACGAACTTTTGGAATCTCTCCCGCATAACTATTTTAAGAATGTTTTCATCATACTTAGGCAGTTTCTTTAAAGCACATATGGTTCCAAGCAAATACACTTGATCTTAGCAAAAAGGCCAAAAAGCAATGGCTCAAAGCAACTAAAAGAATCTCCAAACACCAGAAGAACATCAAGATGTGCTAGAACAGGAAGCTCAGAATTCTCTACAGAGGAGGCCACAGGATTGTGGGAAGAAAAAACAAAACCCGTGAACTTGGAGACGGCTCTGAGCCATGCACCCTTCTTTGAACAAGTCAGAATTCCTAAGAAATGGGAGTTGGTGCTGGGCCTCACTCTGCCAAGAGCTTTAGAGTGAGGGACATCATTGTGACAGGTCCCCAGCAGTACAACTGGGGCGGAGGGAGGGGCTTCGGAACATGTCCCTCCCCCCAGCCACCTGGGAAAAGGAAGCAGAAAAAGGAGAAATAGCTAGCCACTCCACTTCCTTCCCATCTGGCTCTTGGACATGTCTGACTAGCAGAAAGCAGCTCTACAAGAGAAGAGAGCCACAGAGGAAGAACTTTCGGCCACAGTCTAATAATAACACGGAGGTATTTTAACTTTCACTCTTCTGCTCTGGGGAGGAGGGGAATGAAAAGAGGCTCTTATGTTCCATGGAGCAGCCGATAGAGATTCCTGGAGGTGAAATGTCTCATCTCCTGTTTCACAAAACTTAAGATTTAAGATTCTTTAAAAACATGTGGAGTGTCCTAGAGGCCATTTACCTTGGTAAGGTAGTGGAGGAAACCACTTTGCTCTGACTCTAGTCAACAGTATTTACAAACAGGCACATTTACAGTGCGTTGTGCTGGTCATGTCGGGTACTCAGAGGGAGCAGAAGTTACTGTAAATTGGACTCGCCTCTTTCCTCTCTGCATGGAACCCAATGTAACTTTCACTTCAAGGTTTAGGTGTACAGAGGAAAACAGAGGCTAGGGCCATAAGCTAGCAAGAATTGAAGCCATCTCTCTGAACTACTTCTGTCTGGACTTCCTTTTGCCTTTTTGCTTTAATTATGAAGCAATATAAGCCCACATTCCATGTCTTCCCGGAGGCCTCACACTCTTCTCTGAAATAGGCCCCAGAAACAGGACAGCTGAGGGTGACTCACACATCCTTACTCCCTGGCTCTTTCGAAGTCCAGGCCTATGTTTGAAACCTGACCCTCTAAAGACGCCCTATTTTGGAGTAACAGCTCTTCCATGTGCCTGCATGGATTTGTGCCCCTTTAGAAAAAAAAAAATGGCTGATGTGTTTCTTGATCTTTCTTCCCTAGAATCTAGCCATCATGGGTTCTGTGAATTCCAGAGGTCACAAGGCAGAAGCCCAGGTGGTGATGATGGGCCTTGACTCAGCAGGCAAGACCACACTCCTGTACAAACTGAAGGGCCACCAGTTGGTGGAGACCCTGCCCACTGTTGGTTTCAATGTGGAGCCTCTTGAAGCTCCAGGGCACATGTCACTGACTCTCTGGGATGTTGGGGGGCAGACCCAGCTTCGGGCCAACTGGAAGGATTATCTGGAAGGCACAGATATTCTCGTGTATGTGTTGGACAGTGCTGATGAAGCCCGCTTACCTGAGGCAATGGCTGAGCTCATGGAAGTCCTGGACAACCCCATCATGGCCAGCGTCCCTTTCTTGGTGCTGGCCAACAAGCAGGAGGCAGCTGGTGCTCTTCCACTGCTTGAGATCAGAAACAGGCTGGGTCTGGAGAGATTCCAAGGCCGCTCCTGGGAGCTCCGGGCCTGCAGCGCCCTCACTGGAGAGGGGCTGCCAGAGGCCCTGCAGAGTATGCAGAACCTGCTGAAATCCCGCAGCCACCTGTGCTCCAGGTGAGAGCCCGTGGGAGAGGAAGCTAAGAGAACAAGAAATCTTGACCAGGACAGAGCAGCTTATCTTAGCTCAGATGAATTGGAAGAACAAGCCAGTCCTTGAGAAACCTAAACTCTTTTATCAAAGAAGAAATCCTATTCTTGGACAGGAATTTTTTCCCTCTGGACTTATCCTCACTGGTGCTCATGTTGACAATCAAATATTCTTTGAATAATATTCTAAAAAGAAAAAAAAAAAGCCTCAACACACCTCATTTAATAGCTCATTACCAAGTGTAAATAGAGCACTTGTAGTAATGGAGTAACAGGTAGTTACATCCTAATTGAAATCTGAATTCACAGAGGAAAAGAGGTTTCAAAATCAAAGCAGACTATCATCTGGATGTGGCCACAATTATTATGGGTGATTTGCCCTGATGGCCTATGTATATGTGCTATTATCACTCCAGGTGTAGGTAGCCAGGGGTGACAGAAGTTCACCGAGGTGCTCAGCCCTGGGCAAGAAGATGGGGTTAAAGTCCTCCTAAATTGATCCTGTTAACCCTTCTCTACCCTTTGTCATCCTGTGTTTCTCCCTCCCCCACACCCCCCCAAAAATAAAAAGAAATTAATTTTCTTTCTCTTATCCTCTTTTGGTAGAACACATCTTCCTTTTAAAAATGAGAATGGGGCAGGGCCAGCAGGTGATGTGGTGGTTAAGGTGCTGCAGTCCCACATGGCCAACCATGGTTTGAGTCTCAGACCTGGCGACTTGCTTTCCCCTTCTCTCTCTCTCTGTCTCTTTGGTCAAATTAAAAAATAAATAATAATAACAAGTAAAATTAAATAAAGAAATAATTTTTTTTAAACTCAGACTGGGGCCAGCAGGTGGCGTTGTGGTCAAGGCTCTGGACTTCCACATGGCCAACTGCAGTTCAAGTCCTTGAAAATCATTCTAGGTCTGTGTGCACATGCCCAAAGTCCTGGGAGGAGAAGGGCTTATGGCATGGCCATCCCCCTTAAGAGGGAGTGTGTGATTTCTCACCTTCCCTCTACCTGTCTCTCCCAGAAAGGGCACAAACCATATGGCAAAAATGTAAAATTAATTAATTAATTAAACTAAGAAGGCCAGCTCAACGGCCTGGTGGGTAAGGCAGCCAGACTCTACACAGTAGACTGAATGGTTTGAGTCTTAAACCTGGCAACTTGAGAAACATGCCAGGCGTGTGTTTCTGAAAGCAGATATGCTTAGTCTGAATGCCTGCACTCTTCCATGACATCAAGCTTCTAGAAGGTAGGCCTCATTTGGCAGCTGTGACAGGAAGAGGCTTCTGATCAGAGGGGAGAATCTTCTTGGAAGCATTAGAGAGGGCGTAGGATCAGTAATAAGCCTGTGTGCCCAGAGCGGGGGCTCAGGATGGGCCAGGTGATGTTATAACGGGGCACAAAGCTGGAAAGTAAGTCTAGGTCTAAGACGGGGAAGGCTATTTGGACTTTAATAATAACCAGGAGTTTGACTCAGGAAGGCGAAATCATGGAACCTGCCAATTAGGCAGATAACTTGATGGCGGTGTGGTGGAGAATTAAAGAGGCAAAGTCCTGGTTTATCCTTACCTGTGAGGGGCTATCCTGCCTGTCAGAGGCTCATTTCCTCACATGAATTGTCACCGTTTATTGTGAGCTTGTCTTCAGTGGAATTAGTTTTTCCTGTGCAACTCCCATGTGCCCTGGATTGTGACGATGTTTCTACAAAGTGGTTTTGCATTTCCATCGATTAAGACCCCTGAGATTTTGGTTATTTTAGACCAAATGTTGTCAGTTTCTCTGCTTGAGTCTCTGGTCCTCACGGGTAGGATAAACCAGGACTCTGCCTGTTGAATGCACAGGGCTTAAAGATCCCATTTCTTTCTTTCTTCAAAAATGTATTCATGGGAACCAGCAGTTAGCACAATGGCTATGTCGCTGGATTTCCACGTAGTCGACCGCGGTTCACATCCTGGACCCGGTCGCTTAGAACTTACACCGGGCGTGTGTGCGTGCGTGCCGAAGATCCCGAGAGGAGAATGTAGGAGAGGAGATTGCGGCGTGACCATCCCCCCTGGGGGGCGATTTCTCGCTTTCTGTCTCTATGTCTCTCTCTGTCTGGTGAGCGCACATGCCCTATAGCAAAAACCTCTCAAAAAAAAAAATGTATTCATGTTCTCAACTGGGCTGGACTGAGGTGTGTGTCACACTGGGTAAAGTCTCTTTACAATCTAAATGATGTATAGCGATGAAATGTATAAATAATAATTAAAATTAATAAATAAAAAGTTATTAAAAAATTTATTCATGGAGGCCAGCAGGTGACATGGTGGTTAGGGTGCCAGACTCCCACGTGAGCCAACTGTGGTTCCAGTCCCAGACCTGGAGGCTTGAAACTCACATTAGGCAAATGTTCCTGTGTGCCCAAAATCCTGAGAGGAAAAGAGGAAAAAGGATTGTGGTGTGGTCATCCTCCTGGGGAGGGGATGATTTCTCACTTTCTTTCTCCATGTCTCCAGTGAGCACATACCCTATAGTAAAAATCTCTCTAAAAAAATTATTCATGGGGTTAGCAGGTAGAATAGTGGTTAAGACACTGGATTCCCACCTTATCAACCACAGTTCAAGTCCCAGATCCAGCATCTTGGAAATCACATTGGTGCAATGTGTATACATGCCTAAAATCCCAAAAGGAGAATGGAAGAGAAGGGATTGCAGTGTGGTCATGCCCCCAGGAGGTGTGTCTCACTTTCCTTTTCTCAATCTTTCTTTGTCTCTCTCCGGTGAGTGCATATGCTGTATTAAAAAAAAAATGTATTTATTTCTTCTGAGAGAGAAAGAGAAAGGCACTCCCAGAAGGGTCCTCATACATGATCCACCCCTAGTCTCACCTATCCTGAGCCATGGGTGTGTGCCCACCTGGCCTGCTCAGGGACAGGGACTCAGGACCTTTCCCATGTGGGCCCAGTGGCATTACTGCTGTGTCATCATCCTAATGATCCCATTTTTTTAACAAAGTTTTTATTGTCTTTCTTCCCTGAGAGAGACAGAGAAAGAGGGGACCATCCCCCAAAGGGACCTGATGCCATGGTCAATCTCCAGTTTCAGCCAGCTGTGGACCACAGGCACCAGCCTGTTTACGGAGGTCTGGGATGTGAACCCAGGACCTTCCCATGTGGGTAAACTTCACAAATAATCACTTTGACCACTGCACCACTGTCCAGCCCCATAGAGATTCCATTTCTTACAGGTGACCTTTTTTCTTCGCAGCCATATCCCAAGAGAGAAAACTTACTTGCTCGTACTTCTTTGGTCTTCTCTTTGATGCTCTTGCTTTTCTGCTAATCTCAGACCAACACTTTCTCTCCAAAAACAGCCATAGCTTCTGTTCCCACACAGGTGTTAGAACCTCAGCCCAGTCCCTAAATTTGATTCCTAAAATGTCTGTGGACTCCAGGCTTCCAGTGTACACTGTCTTGGCTGTGGTTTCTCTATCCATTTTTGCCACTTGAAAATTTTCCTATTTTTGAAAATGTAAGGATTATTTCCTTTTCTTTCATATTAATTAGTTGACTATCTCTGTATTGCTCTTGGGAGCAGGAGAGAGGGGCTAGGAGTGCTTGGTAGGAGGGTTGCTTGCTCTTCACCACCACAGGCTCCAGCTGTGCAGAACCATGCTGGCGGTGCAGACGTCAGCCAGGTGCAGAGCAGGGCTACTTGTTCTTGTGGAAGAGCATTCTTGCTGACGGTCCACACTTAGGATGGAGCTACTTCAGCTGGCCGGATCTCCACTTCCCGACCACTACCACACCTCTGTGGTGGTCGGCTGGCTCCACACCCACCCCTGGTGATGCATCAGCAGGTGTGGTGGAAGGAGCTGTGGGCCTTCAGGTTATTCAGCCTCAATGCTGTAGCTAGGTGTATTCCTCCTGATCAGGACATTGGAGCGCTTCTGCACAACCACCCACCGAAAATGTGTGGCCCTGAGGCAGATGGAGATGGAAAATAGCACGCATTGTTTTTTCATTTGTTATTTTGTTATGGTTTACCCAACATTTCTATGACTTCGTAATGGGAAAGCCATCTGCCATGTTGCTAGAAGCCCTGAACTCGTTTTGCTAAGAGGCTGGGAGCCCTTCCTGAGCTGCTAGGAGGGAGACGTGATTAGATCTGCACTGAAGAAAACACACTGTCACACAGCAGTGTTTGAGTGGAGGCGGGATCCTGAAGGAAGAGAGACAGGCGAGAGGAAGACCAGGGCACCTTCTGGTCAGATGCATGTTATGGGCACCACTGGTCTCCTGGTAGCCTCCCCATCGTGCTCTTGGCATTCTCTCCCCTCTACTCCTGACAGTCCCTCTGCCTTGGCCAGGCCAGCCTCCTCTCAGGGTGCACCAGGATGTACATGCTTTTTTCCAGCTCCAAGTGTGTGGGCCCCACCGGACTAGACAGTGGGCACCAGGGATGCAGGTAGCTCAGTGTTTACCTCAAGCCCCCCGTCTTTGAAAGTAGATGTCTTACACTTGATAGGCCCTAGAAGTCCCTTTTCATCATTTCCCTTGGATAAGATTTTAGAAAAAAGACATGTGGGCCAGCAGATGGCATGGTAGTTAAAGGCACTGGACTCCCCATGGCTGACCATGGTTCAAGTCTTGGACCTGGCAGCTTGCTTTCTCCCTTTCCCTCTCTCCCTCTGTGTCTCTCCTTCTAAGGTCAAATCAAAATAAATAAATAAAAAGTTAAAAATAATTCTTTAAAAACAAAAGAAAAAAGACACAAAAGAGAAATATCAGAATAGCCATGTCCAATTAGCATTAACTATAACTCTCTTGTGGTCTGCCTCCTGCTTGGAGGGACTGAAGTCAAATCACTCGCACAGAACTACCCGGCAGGTGAATGCTAGGACATTCACTGAGAGAGTTAAATGTTCCCCAAGTGCCTTAGAGATGGAAAAGGGTTAACTCAGTTTTCTTTCCAAGTTAGTTGGTCCTTTTTTAACATCATTGCTGGTGGCTGACCTTGTATTTTATTTTTTTAAAAGAATTATTTATTTAATTTTATTTATCATTATCATTATTCTTCAGTTTTCTACAGGGCAGGTGTGCTTACCAGGGAGAGATGAGAGAGAGAGAGAGAGAGAGAGAGAGGAAGCAAGCTTCCAGGTCTGGAACTTGAACCTTGGTGGGCTATGTGGGAATCCAGCATCCCAACCACCATGCCACCTGCTGACCCCAGACCTATTTTCTAAGTTCTTGCCTTCAGACATAAAGATCGTAACATCCATCAGTAGTTGACACCATAACTACAACAGCGAGATATGACATCCAGAGATAATGAAGGAACCCAAGGACCAAAGATGTTCTATCCGGAATCCCCTAAATACCCAACCATAGCCCCCTTTTCTTAAGTCCCAGTAAAAGCTCCTTACTCCTACCCTTTGGGGACGAAGCAACTCTCCACATCTGGCTCCTTTGTTATCTTGGAAAATGAATAAATCCTTTTCTATCTACGTTCTCTCTGACTTTGGGAATGCTTTCACAGCCCACAGCCAAGACCACTGTAACATTAACTGTACAATTCTCTGGACAGAAGGTGGTC